CCTACGCTCGCTGGATCGATCCTGAACGGCCTCGATCCGTTATCTCGCCCTTAATTCCGCGCGTCTCGAACAACCGTTCGCTTCGTGTCTCTTCCGTCGTGTTCGCCTTTCGCGATACTCACGCGACCGTCAACGTAATTCGACTACAAAAGGGAAACGTAACGCTGGGGGACGATCTCCGCGAGCGATTACACACGTTCCCGTCGTTCGACGCGCGACGACGACGGGTGAGTTCCGTCGATCCGACGCGGCACGAGGACGCCGCGACCGAGCTCTTCGCTCTCCCGTTTTCTTTCGCAAATTTAAACCTAAAACACGTCACCGAATCGTTCTTAAGCTACCAGAAAGATTACACGCTCCTCCTTCGTTCTACCGACTAAATTTCCCGACGGTTAATTTACAAAACGCCTAAACCTATTATCTCCTACGAACGCGGCCGATATCCTCGCGCTTCTACGACGCGACACGAACAAACGAATATTCCACGCGACACACGGAAACGACACGCCTAAATCAATTTTGACTAACTTAAAAGAGGAAAGCCTCACGCTTCTCACAGACACGGTCCTGGGATCTTGTTATCCTTACCCGATAATACTGACGATAATATCCAAACGGTCGGTGCTGCGTCCTCGATGCTCGCGTCGATCCGGTTCCGCGATTCATCCATCCCCGCGTTTCGTTTCCAGATTAACGCAGATAAACCCTACTTATTCGACGTCGAAAATGAGAATTTCTTAAACCTTATCGCTGCTACCGGAGCTCCTAGGATCGACGTTTCCGCTGTATGCTTAATTCGAGGGACAACGGAAATAATTCGTTTCCTTCTCAATGAAAAAGAAACTGAAAGATTTCGTTGTCTCGGATGTACTCGAAAGATTATGCTGTATGAAAAAAGAAAATGATTTCATTTTGTAGAGGAAGTGATTGTCATTCTGTAACGCTGGTTCTTGATTGAATAGACCGCGACGTTTATGCAAATGTAAGCTAATTTTATGAATATTCGAATGAGTTTATTCTACAATGAATTTTATGCATTTACCGATCAACCCCTTGGATGATGCTATCGCGAGTGGTATCACAAACATATTGTTGTCGTCAATATCCTTCGATCACTGGAACAAATGCAGTTTTAATACAAAATGCCTGTTTCACCCAACGAACCATTCGGAATAAACAATTCGGTAATCGTAAGACGAGGGGTTGGAAGATACTTCACAATGAAGATGTAAATTTGCATAAACAGTAGCGGTGCACGCGATCATCGGTGCAAGAATCGGAAAGCAGAAGCGTCGAGATCCAGGACTCGCATATTCTTCCAGATGATGTTTCCTCGGTGATGATGTTCGTTTCTCAGGATGGAGCCCGAAGAGAGAATAAATTGATAAACAGAAAAACAAACGGTCCGACGAACTTGTGTGATTTACGGGGTATCTAGAGCAAGGTCGCCCGGAGCAGGGAGATCAGCGGGTCGAAGAAGAGGGGACATGGGTCGGTCGCGGCGCTTGGTCGCCGGTTAGCTAAGTTCCCTAATGGTTACGGCCACTGGCTGTAAAGCTGGAACTGCTCGCGGGTGAAGCAGACCGAGAGCGGCTTCACGAAGTGGGCGTCGACGGCTCTGCAATGGGGACAGGCAAAGACGCGGCTGTAGTCCGAATAGAAGTTCAGCCGCTGATGAGGATAGATCAGTGGCTTCTGGCAGCTGTTGCACTGGAACAGAATAGGGCGACGGATATTTTACAATGACTGCGATTCGTCAGGTGACCATCTTCGTGGTACTCTTGAGTTGAATTTTATTTCTACGAAGGAAATCATTTCCCGATAGCTTTTTTATCCAAAGATAAAAATATGGATTATGGGTTAGGTAGTAGGACTTAATCCCCGGATGGGTTGGTTGAATAGAGCTGAATTTTTGAGAACTACAGTTTTCCAGCTTCTGAAAGTCTGAGTGCAGTTGAATTCTATATTCCAATGGCTACAATTGCCTCATAAAGCTTAAAATGATAGAAAGTTCTTATGTATATTGTTTGTCTCCGAAATATACATCCGAGGATTAAGGATATGAGTTAGCTTTGACAGGACCTATTTATATTTACCTTGATCTTCAATCTTTCTAATAATAGAATCTACGAATTCCAGTTTCCAAGGATTACTAATTTAAATATTATACAATATGCCAAAATCATAAGAATTTTGAATTTCAAACCGAGGAAGCTGGTATTCTTAATAGACACTAGATATAATATAGCGGAATAATCGAAATACAAAACATTGAAACGATGGCGAACAGGTTAAATCGATAATACGGAGAGACTATAGTAACGTCACTACGCGATGCGGTATTTCATCTAGAACAATTCAAGGGTCCAAAGAAAGTGACTTTATGTAGCGGAACGGCTGTTAACGCGGCTAGTAATTTAGTTGTAACGCGCAGGAGGTGCAGAAGCGGAAAGATCGCAGCGTCAGCGACGACTAGACGCGAAATTCGAGACTCACCTTGAGCCGCTCGGTGCAACAGGGCATGGCAGCGAAGATATCGTAGCTGTACATCGTTCCAAGGACTAAGCTAGAGCCGTCCCACGGCTGAGTACAGCAACGACAACGCACAGGCTGCCCACCGCTGCCTTCGAGGCAACTCATGCATACCGCTGACAGGAATTGCGTGCGACCTTCGACCTTCACCTGGAACAATGATCCCAGGAACATCGATTTAGATTTATGAGCTGTTTCATGGCCGTACACTTCTGCGCGCGCGTTGCTCCGAACGATCCACAGGATACTAATCCATTAAAGAACAATGTATATTTTTATTTCTAGCAATTTCGAAATGAAACGACGCGACTAAATGATTTATTATACACTAATGAACATTTGGACGGAAAGCTAAACAAACAATTTTTTAATGAGTTTATTACGTACAGACTGCGAAGTAGGCGTTCAAATTTCCAAGTAGAATTTATGGGAAAAAGTTGGTTAACTTTACACTTGTGATGCACACTATGTAGTAATGTAATTAATTACATGTATCAATCAGTTCGCGCGATCTTACTCGAATCCCTCAAAAGTATCACTTAGGGAAGAACCCGTCTTTTAATTTATTAAGCCAGATATCTATTACTGTGATTGGCAGGGAAGCGACTTAGCGCGGATAAGTCTACAGTTAGCAGGTGTTCTGAAGTGATCCGCACCAGACCCGCTGCTCTATAATAGAGTAATTAGAAACAGGAATCTCCGGGTAATAAATGAAGAAAATGATGAGTTACTAGATCTAATGAGACATTAGTTACGAGTTAACTTGTCTATCCCCCGTCAAAGAAAGAAAGGCACGATAATGATTATAACTGATATTAAAAGATCAACATTAAAGAATTAAGTAAAATCGTTATTAACGTGTATAATTAAAAAAACTTCTAAACAGTAAAAATTGTACTGGTTTTTCTTTTCGTACAGGTATTCCATAATAGAGCATCAGTTATAATTTCTCCATCATGTTTTCTATTCTTAAATTTAATGTCTACCATTCTTAAAATTGCCGATTGCAAAAAGGCACGTTGAAAGCTTCGAAAACAAAGTTCTGCCGACTTACCTCAGCACAGGCAGGCGAGTGTTGTCTCGGCGACAGAAAGAACGTGCCGTCGACCAACGGATACCTGTCGAAAACGAGCATCGGAGCGCGGCACAGCACGCAGGACACTCTGGACCATTGCAGCGCGGCCAGCGTCGACAGGATGAAGCATCTGGTGTCATCGTTCCCGTGGTTGCCCTCGTCTTCCATCTGCGAACAAAGTAGAACAGGTACAAATGAGTCTCGGCGTCCACGTACGCATCGCTTTCAAACAATATTCATCAAGCGCGACAACACGCGTTCCAACGAGAACAGAAAGAGTAAATGGACGTGGTCGATTAACCCTTTCACATCCGTGATATTACGTTTACTGTCACTAAATTCTACCTCTGCAATATTATGTTCGTAATACAAAATAAAATCGTTTATCATCATATCCGCGATATTATAAATTATAGTAAAAATTATCAATTAGCGTAATACCCAAATTATTATAGAAATACTACGAAAAACGTATCCGATGGTATAAATATGTATATACGCACAGTGGAATAGTGAAATGAAGAAAAAGGTTCCTTTTTTACGTTAGTACTGCAGCACTTAAAAGGTTTAACTGTTCCCCGGAAAACGGCAGCAGAAAGAACAAACGTAAAAACCGGTGATGCAGATGGGGTGGAAGCAATTAAAAGCGCACCGTTTTCGGTGAGCACGAGCGACGTTGTCGCCGGTGCAATCTCGCTTCCGGTTCCCCGGTAGGCCGCGCCGTCGTCGTCGGGGAACGATAATTTAAACGCGGAATTGCCCATCTGGAGATTCCGGCGAACAGCCCTGGCAATATAAAGTCGCGATATCATGGTAGGGGGAAAGCGAGAGACGGGGCGGTACTCGTGAAAATGTCCTCCGTGGGACGTAAAACGAAGCCCCGAAGGTGGAGGGCCGACGAACGGCGGCCGTGGAAGTTACGAGCCGGTCTCTCGTCGAGTGGATCCTACGAACCGAAAATACGCGCGCGCTCTCGATAGCGAAAGAAAGCGAGATTCGAGGTCCGAGGGCGGGGACCAACGAAATGTCACGTTCTTAATGACGGAGGAAGCGACTGGGTAGAAAAAGAGAGAGAGAGAGGGAGAGAAGAGTGAAGAGGGAACAAGAGGACAGGAAACGAGGAAAAAAGAGCACGACGAAAGGTGTGTACCACCGGTGGCTGAATAACGAAGACGAGAGGAGGAGGGGAGGGAAAGGGGAGAGCAGAGGTTAAGGTCGAGGTAAAAGGTGGAAGGATTTTCTGTCGGCGACGGGGAGGGCACACTCCAGACGAGGACGTTTATAACCACGGTAAATATCCTGCTCCGACCTCCCTCCGGCGTCCCGCCTACCTCGGCCTCTGATCATCGATCATAAAGAAAGAAGAGGAAATGAGGGAAAAAGGGAGAGTGAGGAGAGAGAGACCTGTGTTATTGAACCTGCTGGATGTGCCACGGGGGTCGTGTCCTGGGAAACGAGCTGACGGGTTATCAATTTTCGAATTTGGTGATTAAATGTGATACTGAATATAGCGAAGATAGCGAAATTGAATTGGATTTTTTCATTTTCCAGGCTCGACGTAGCTGCGTTGTTATATTGGGAATTTAATTTACTTGGGTTTGAAATTTCATTCGCTCGCAAGTGTACCTTTTGCAAGACATTATTTGTGACATTTATTTTTTTAAAATGTTAGCCTTACTAGGAATTCACGTAATCTACTGATAAACTGTACACAATGTTAAGAGTAAATAGAAAATTCCCAGGACATCTCTAAGAAACTAAAATTCCATCCAACCCTAATGAACACCTTTGATTAAAAATCGAACCCACCCAGTTCACCCGCGAATAATCGAATATTTTCGATCGAAGGACAAACTGAAGTCCCCGAAGAACCAAGGACAAGAGCACAGAGGTTTCTAACCTCCGTCCACGCTTCTCCCAGTTCGATCGAGTAGGAACGTGGCACGCAGCCAGACTGCGAAGAGGTCTCTTCGAGTGGCTGGAGTGCTCATCAAGAGACCTCGGTCGGCGTGAGACGCCGGAGGACGAAGGAACGCTGAGGATCGAGGGAAAAAGAACCACAGGAGAGTCTGGGAATCTCGCAGGAACCGATCAAGCCGAGGAAAGATGCTCCGACCGTCGTACGTTCGTCCGAGAGAAGGGGCCACGCATCCAGCCGACCGACCGTAAGAGAACGGAATCTGCTCGCAGAGGTTCCATGCGGCTCGAATAAATAAATTGGATTGGTCCAGCGTGTTTTCCAGCAACTGGGGAAACGGACCGTCTCACTCGTGGGTTGAGCAATGTTGGGAAGAGCGTTCGGGACCGTTTTACGAGTCCGATCGGGGGACGCACGTCGCGCTAAGACCGCTAGTTCCTTTCTTTTCTTCACGCGGCAACGAACTCGCGCCGGAAACCGCCGCGGAGGCAATTTCCTGGGACACGTAATTAATGTGCCCTGGGACTGGTGGGAGCTTTTAATCGAAAGGTTTCTTCAGGATCGTAGTAAGTTCCCTTAGAGGATCTCAGGGGTGAGGTTTCGGTGTTGCGAAATGGAGGACCGATCCGAGATTGCGAGGAAAAAGAGGAAAAAGAGTGGACACAAGGTTTAATCATGACCTTTGCGAGCCACTCTGTTTGTCTTTCTTTCTTTGTCGCTGAACAGGAGACGGCCGTGATGAAAAATAAAAGCGAAGTTCGTCGACGACGACGTCACACCCCCTGATCGCACAACCTTTGTCAATCGCGACGATATTGGAAGGTACAAGGGAAAATCTACTTAATCGGCCGACGGTTTTTCATATCCGCGTGGAGTGTGCAGGAGGAGAGCAGGTCACCGACCCTGCGGATAATTTCGTCGGCGCGGTTAAAAGGCTAAGGGTGGACGGAGGCGCTGAGAGCATAAATCGCGCCGTTTCGTCGGGGACCATGGGCTTACGGATCCGACGGGCTGCCGGATTATCGGAATTCAATAATAACGGCCGGGACAAATAAATAGAAACATGCGACACGCTCGGCGAGCCGATACGATAATGTCGAATGGCAAGAATAAGGGGAAACACTTGTGAAATCGATGAGAATGTCTCGGGGAAGAAGTTCTCCAGAATTTTTCATCGAAAGCCTAATATGATGTCTGCGCCTTTTGGAATGACTCTGTGTTGGAGTTTCATTTTCAATAGATAATAGTAAATTTGACAATAACAATGCTAGAACATTGAAAGAGGCCCAATGATTCTGATGAAATAAAGAACTATTCTAAAAATATCGAATAATTTTTATTCTCCATCTCATCCAACATCTTTGCAATATTCCTTTACAGTTTTCCACTATCCTTTCACAATTCTGTAATACACGGATAAATAAGCTCCGATAAACAGAAAATTGATAAAACTTCCCAATCATGGGACAAAATTCTACAATTCGGAATAAGAGACTCCACCAGCATCGCGAAGGAATTTACAAGAAAACATCTACAGATGAAAATACCGAAGGAAGCTCGAAAGAACGTAGAAGGCTATTGATCCCCGGAGCAAGAAGGAGTGTAAAACCTTATTGAAAATATCGGCGGCCCTTTTACGGGGAGCGATCACGGAATAAGAGGAAGAAACGAAGCGAAAAGGGAGCAGCAAGGTGCCGCGGGAAAGGGAGTCCCTCGAAGAAAGTAAAACGCAGCGAGGATTTGTCGGGTAGCCCGCCGCGGGGACGCTCTTATTTAGCCCTTAACGGCGCAGCCGAGCGACCATAGGTCCCGGCACGATAAAGCTCGGTTATATACGCGCGTAAAATTCGTTACGATCGGCCTCGGTTTGCTTCCGCTTTTGTCCTCGCGATACCGCGCGGCAGTAACCGTCAAAGACTACGGGCAAAGATCGGGGTCCGGCGTCTTAATCTTTTCCGTTTCTGACCGGCCCCTGAATGCGCGACACTGATTCGTGATCCTCAATGGAGGGAGAAAAAAAAATTACAGTACAATGCAAGAGACGAGGATTCCCGGCTTAGAACGTCGCCTGCCGAACAAGGACTCGAGCGAGTCCTTCGGTGGCTCTCTCCTCTTTAATCCTGCCGTCATAATGCCCCACGCTGTACCTTCCACTAATCCTCGTGTCGCAACTCGGACCGGGGCAATCTGTTATGTTCGAATGTCCTGGATACTGCAGCGAACGCGAACTGAACTGGATACGGTTTTGTTAGTCCCATTGGTTTTATGGGCGTGAACGTATCGAAGATTATCGGGGATTCCTTGAAAGGATGCAATAACGTATATTTTGTAATATAAATATCTTTGTGATACAAGTTGATATCGGTTTATGAATGCTAACCGGATTTTTCGATCAATTTTTTTGCGAAGAGACTCTGCCAACATCGATTTTGTATGGCAAGATAATTTCAATCCTTAGATAATTAACGGGACAATTCTATCTTATGGTTATCTATTCTACTTATTCTTATAATTCTATCTATTTCTATAATTCTAGAAATTATCTGCACGATATTAATTCAATTTGCACTTTGAAAGCTCCGCGTTACTCTTACAGACTATTAGTGGAAAGTATCCAGGGCAAGAGCATTCCAGATTGTTCCAAGCACAAAAATCCCCGACAATGCCCACTTACTCCTCCCCGTAGCAATTTAACAGTCCCTTGTCCCCGGTGATAAACCGCGTGCAACCGGATCCAGCGGACTATCCCGAGTCCAGTGAAACTGTCCCAGCAGCCGATAACTTCTGACGTAGGACACGAAGAGCCATTCCAGAACGAGCGTGGGGAACGTCCGGGACACAAAGGAAGATTATTAAGACCCCGTCTAATTCCCCGACAAAAATCTTCAACGAGAGTGGGAGACGGAAAGGGGGATTCCTAAAAACTTCATCCCGCCGGCTCGAGCCGACTTCACTCCCGCGCTCGTAAATACAGGAATGAGTGGGCGGACCGTGGCCGCGAGTAGTTAACGCGAGTACGAGGCCCGCGGAGTATTTTTCCCTCTCCAGTGGAGGATTTATGGGCGAGCAGGACAAAGAACGAGCGGGAAGAATCGTTGGCGCGTGTCCCGTCGACCGGAAAAAGGAACGAAGAGGCAGGCTGGCTGGCCGCCGCGATAACCGAGCCGGCAACTTCTGTCCGTCTTCTCCCTTAACATCGGTCGCTAACTTTCTCCGAGGGAGGATATCCTCTTCGCATCACTCTCGGCGA